ACGATCCTAAAGGTGAATAGAAACATCCTTAAACGTCTTGTTACCACCTACGAGGCAGGTATTCCAGTTGACCTGCCATCTGTCCTTCAGCATGAGCTTCTGCCAGTCCGCGTATCACTTGCCGAAATGAATAGAAGACTTCGTACAGGAAACAAGTCGGCATTGACAGACAAGTTAATCGAAGGTGTTATCTGTTCTGATGCAATTGAACTTAATGGGAGATCATCTTGCCTTATAAATGAAAGACAAGCACTGGTAGTTGCCCTTGGAAGGCCTGACAAGGCAGAGGCATTCAGAGATTTTTTTGACACATATCTAAGAACAATACTAAAGGCCGCTTCTAGCCATGAACGGGTTGATGTTGTCTTTGACAGATACAGGGAAGGAACAATCAAGGGTACTACCAGGTCAATACGTACGAAAGCAGCTCGACCAATAAGACGACTTGTTGTGGGTCGTGATGTGCCTCTTTTAAAAAATTTGACAAACTTTCTGTCACTCGATGACAATAAAGCAGATCTCACTAATTTTCTGTATGAACAGCTGGGTGCTCAGGCGCCCAATAAGGAGGTTGCAGTTGCTGGTGGGTTTAGATAGGAACTTGAAGTTAGATCGTCGAAGGCAACAACAGAGTTGACAAATCTGTGAGCCAATCATGAAGAAGCGGACACTCATTTAGTGTTACATGCCGTGCATAGCCAGTTCAATACCGTTGTTGTATCATCTTTTAGTTTCACATTTTCCGCGTGCACAATTTGAACACCTGTGGATGCTGTCAGGTACCACGTAGAAGCCACGATACATACCCATTGCAACACTAATCAACAAACTACCCAGAGATTCAGCACCAGCTCTTTTACCCTAAAGTGGGTGTGACACCACATATTATATTCAAATCACACCAAGAATCGGCATGGGAAGTCTTCAAAGAGCACCATCAACTGCTCATTAACTTGGGACTAGGGGAACTCAGAGAAGAGATTATTCGATCTTCCGAAACGTTTGTCTGCAGATGGTATGGTGTGCTGAAAACTGACTCAGCAGCAATGTATGTCATATGTATGTACTGTACTGTACTGTTTCGTACTGTACCATACCGTATCGTACCGTACCGTGTAGTGTAGTGTAGTGTGATACCGACAACAGCAATTTATGCCTTGTTTCAGGTAATTTTTAATATTGAATATTTATTCGAACACTAGGTGTGAATTTCAAGTGTAGATACAATTTCAGTTGAGAGAGGAAGATTTGTTTTTTGGTTGTTTGATCATTGGTTTAACTTGAAATTGTATGGCTCTAATCATATTTTGATATGGAGCCCTCTAATAAAAACATGATATTAACATGATTCATATGTATTTATTACTTTTTTAAATTCTGAGAACTATAGCCTTTGAATATGATGTCAGAAAACAAAATAAAAGTATGCTGAATAAGATTATATTAATCATATATTATACCTTTTCAATTTCCCATTCCAAAAATATATCGTTTGACTCACATCACAAATTCTCACGTGCTCATTGTTCAATATGTACATTTCTTTACTGCAAAAAATAATCGAAAAACTATCAACATCCACACTTGTCTAGCGGCAACTCCGTTGAATTTTTTGTTTACTTAATACAAGCTCAAACTAATACTGCACAGACTAGCAACACGACTTTTCTTTTGGTCAGATGCGTGCCACGTTTGTTTTGGAGCTTAACTTTATCCAATAAACAAACTAATCTAACTAACGCGACTATAACATGTAACGCGATGTCATTATATTATCAAACAACGCGAGAAGTACATAGTAATTATTAATAGTTTATTGTCATTTTTTCTTGGTTGAATAATCTTGACAAATGCGACAAAATATATTTCTATTTATTCCCCATGTTATTTTAATCATGCAAACAAACGAGAATGGAAATCGCACCGCTACCTATAGTAAAAGTTCAACAAAAGTCAAAATAATGAGAAATGTTACTAGAAATTCACTCATTATGTATTCATAAATATTGTAGACGGAAGTAGGAAAAATTCATACTGAAGTAACTTATACATAAATTGACTGATTTGAACAGAAACGGTGACGATCCAAAGGTTAAAACTCAGAGATTTATTTTCCATTAGATTTGTGTGTTCAGCATTATAATGATATTACGAAAACACACGAAGCAGGTAAATGCGAGTGCCTTCGGAAATCTTCAGGCTAACTTTAGACTCAGAGGACAAACGTGCGTCAATAAACTACAGGCAAGGTGTGCCGAGGCACGCATTCCACGGGCGTAATCCCCAATTCACACTTACAACAGTCGGCATTGCTAAACTGTTCTATGTTAGTCTGAGATACAAGAAGACACCAACTGCATTGGACTTTTGTCACACAGATATTAATAGATTGGTGAACGTTCCCCCATCGTTACCAGTTTCTAATGTGTGTCACACAATTGATTTTTACTGTCTTCATTGATATTATGTAATGTAAAAATGATAAACAAGGAAACGTTTATTTTATTGATTTTTTGTCAGATCTTGGCCAATGTAGAGATTTGTTATGTAATTTGCATATGGGTCTGCTTGTAATGCAGACAACCCGACTAAAATCTAAAACATGCATTAATCTTATATATAACACCAGTGAGTACGTTCAGAGTGTTGTATTCATAATAATTAAACTACTTGCATCCGCGATAACATGAACAATTCTAAAGATTCAAATGAATGCGATTGCTAATGCATTTTATAACCGTTTTCGACATGTTTCAAGAAAACTGACACTGTCAAATTTTATTGTTTGTCATTCAACATTTCATTTTCCACTGAACCAATTATTAGACAACTTAAATATAAAGAGCGAGGCGATGTCAATGTTTCATTACGTGGTGTAAGTGCACCCAATATTTTCAACTTTTGCACGCATTGCTCAATTTTTTTTTGAAAAAAAAAAACATGGCCATGCGACTTTGCATCACATATACACTGCCTTAAGGGAAACTGTTAACGTAGTGGATGATGGCTGTTGAGGTCCGAAATATTGTCAGAAAAACTTTTACAATGACAGCGACACATTGCAAGCCATCTCTAATTAGTCATAATTTTCTCCAGATTCGACTTAAGGTGGAATGATAGACAGAAATGAAAATATTGTAATCTTTTTTTTACATATTTTATGAAAATAGAGAGAATGGAATAATAATATGAAGTCACCGTACTCAGGTAAGAAAAATCGAGGTAAATAATAGCGTGAAAATAACATGTTTTGTCCGTTTTGAGGATTTTTATATATTAAAGTTTTGCCCGGAGCCATAAGGTGAACACAAATTTATATAGTGTTAACAAATATTTTCTATGTCTAGAAGTATTTTAAAAATGACAATGTTAGAGTAGATTTCCTTTGTGGAAATATGTTCACACTCTGGTCTATATAAACCGTTGCTGAAATGACATTTTAGGTATATTATTTTTGACAGTGAAACAAAGGCGTTCACACAAAATATCACAAGTAGCATTCTACTTTAAAATCAATCTGGCATTTGTTAAAATCAATCTGCTTTGCTTTGTAATACTGATCAACTACTCTATAAGGTAAAAATGACTGGTATTTTATTCATTTTTTCATTTATGTATTTGGTTCAACACCTACATTTTTAAACGTCATGAAATACTTAGCTAACATATCCCAGGAATCGCGAAATGTCCGTTGGCACAAGGCTCAATAATTAGTTCCTATTGTAATTTCATAAATATTATTTCATTGTATGTGAAAGAAATTCTTGTATCCTTATGATCAGTTCTCGTCTTTTTTATGAAGATTACATCATTTAAATTTCCGACTCGCAATGTTGTTCAATGGAGGTGGAATGAAAAAAATGTTTGTTGTTACTCTTCAACTATAAATATTAATAAAGGCACATATCTGTATCCGCTCGAAATAATAGTAACAATTCCAAAATAACTGTTGCTAAATTGTTGATCAGGAGGCAAACACCTATTGTTACACGATTCGTATAATGAGGCGACATGAAGGGCGAACTTTAAGTTATTGTATATATAGCTACACAATCTAAACAGAATTTATTGTCTTAGAACTATAGTTTAATCGAAAGTTGTTTTGCAACTTTGGAGGTATTTACAATAACACAAATATAATTCAACACTGATTTAATACAAATTAAATTTCATTTAACATCAGTGCAACTTGTGTGATGTATAATTTCATACAGAAACGATTTGACTATTAGGTGAACGATAAGTGATGGGTGACACATGAGGAACATGAAGTGCTAAATCATAATGCATAACTTCATGTACACCATGATGTCTATACATCATTCGCTTACTAATTTGACATTATGTCGAGTATATATCAGTTCTTTTGTTCTGGGGGATTTTTTTGTCGCTTGCGGTCAGTCATTTATTTACATTGTTGGGCCTACATTTCCCTATACAGATATATTGTTGAGTATTATTCTCATTTTTAATGTATTTGTGTGCGAATTATATAACAAAGTTGTGTTCTGATTTGGAGGTTCCAAACGGAGATTTGAAATGGCATGGTGTGAATTCTTTTATTTCAAAAGTGTGCTGTATATCAGTGGCACCAGAAGCAGTGTGACTTCAACTTTTGTGTTCGGATCAAAACTTATCGACGATAATGCAGTACATACTGTCTGATACTCAGATTCGCGGTATGTACTTTGAATGTCACGTTTCACTCAAAGATACACTCGTATTTGCAATACAATGGAACTCAACGTCTGCTTTTCCACATATTTTTAATGAACTAACCTTGTTGAACAATACAATACATTTACTTATCTACTAATTTCCCAAAGATTGTGGTCAATCACATGTTGTGTTATTTATTATATTACTCATGCTGCTTAACTTAAAAATATCATGTTGTTGTGTATTTCACATATAACCATCACCAGAAAATGACCAAATATTTAGATTTCTGAAAACTGATCGGGGTGTAACCATGTTTGTTCTTTTCAGTTGAAGATTTCCTAGAAACGTCTATAACATAAGAATAAAAAATATGGTTTAACTTAATGAATTGTCAAATACTGAAATAAAAAGTATCTTTGTAATATCATTTAGCAAACATTTATAAAAATATACATCAATATACAAACAACTTACTTTTTGTCATTCACTTTCCAGCTTTCACCAAATTCATTAACGTCTTTGGTAATGCTACCATCTGGTTTCTGGAAGTCATTGCGAGTATCACCATCTGCATTACCCATCAGACCGCATAGCTTCCCATTGTAAAACGAACCATTGTAAGATACATCCAATGCATGATTTCGCAGAGTCCAATTAAAAGTGAATGTCGTGTCTTTCGAAGTGAAGTACAGTTTAATATTCTTATCCTCTTCCTGGATTGTTATAACTTTATCGTCAGTCATTTGTCCATCTGTACTTCCCTGTGAAATTATTCAGAATATTTTTATGATGGCTATATTCATACAAAAAATTAAAAGGGAATTTTGTTTGCAACAACACAATACTACAACTCACTTTGGTAACATCCAGTTCATTAAATCAATAAAATCTTAGAAAGAACTCTCGTGTGCTGAGAGTATTGGAGACACATTAAAATTAATTCAAAATTTTAAGATTTGCTTTTCAAACAGGAAGCTTGGCAACTAATTTTTGTCTGCTATTTGAGATGCATAACATGAGAAAAATGTAATTCAAATTACAAAAAAATATAATACATTAATTAGTTCCAGAGTACCTCCACAATGAATTCATTTTTTAGATATCAGAAATGAGTTATTAATAGATAATCAAAATGTATGTCTGTGGATTACCTCAATAAGCCAAATTAATTATTATGCATCGATTTAACTCTGTATATTGTTCCAGGGTGCACATGTACAAAGTTTCATTATAATGTGATGATTAATCCTAACTAAATTAGTGGAAAGCTGAAAAATAAATCATTATGCAAATTAGGTATTTTTTATAGATGTATATTAACCTAAAACAGTGTGTTATAGTAAATATGTACCAAGATTCATTGAATTAAGATAAGTACTGTCACATACCATCTATGTACGAGGTTTCATTGAAATGTGATTAGAGCCTAACATTATGATTTATTATGCAAATTAGGTAATTAAAATGATCAGATTTTAACCCAAAACTGAGCGGTTCTGTACATTGTTCTGGAGCATCAATGTACCAAGTTTAATTGAAATGGAATAATTAGTACATGTGATATCAGCGTAAAAGCTGATAATTGGGTAATTATACAAATTAGTTGATTAATAAGCACACATTTTTACTTAAAATTAATCAGGTCTTTGGATTGTTTCATTGAAAACTAATGAAGTAATATTACTTGAAATATCAAAAGCTGAAAATTGACTGATTGTGCAAATTAGGTAATTAATATTTCACATATCCGTCTGTGCATCGTCCTATGTACTATGTAAGTTTCATTGAAATGTGATGATTAGTACCTGAGATATCAGTGAAAATCCGAAAATTGACTAATCATTATTAGCTAACTTATAATTAGCTAATCATAATTAGGTTAATTATATGCATAAATTTGTACCCAAACCTTATCACATCTGTGCATTAGTACAGAACATCTATGTACCAAGTTTCATTAAAATATAATGAATGGCTCTTTAGATATTAGTGGAACAGTCAAGGAACAGCTGGAAATTAAGTAATTATCATGCAAATGAAGTAATTAATATGTTTGAATTTCAACCCAAATCTAATCAAATCTGCGCATTAGCCCAGAGCATCTATAGACCAACACACGGTTCTCACGGTTCTCAGTGGACAGACAGACACACACACCCATAACAGACACATACAGACAGGGTAACTGAAAAAACTCCCATTGTGTGCTTCACACACGGGAGTTAAAAAAATTAAAAGGGGATTTTGTTTACAAAATCACAATACTACAACTCACTGTTGTAACATCCAGTCCATTAACGACCGCATATTGATTTCCAACAGTTATATTGAATGTGGTAGTTATTGTTCTAACTTGGTCTGGTGTACTGTCTTCTCTTGGTTCAAACTTAGTTGTGACTTCAAAACGAGGCTTGTTGGTGCAGTCCTTTAGGAGAATGTACCAGCCTGTTCCTTGGAATGTATATGCACGACTATCGAATGTCCTCATATGAGGATCACCTCTCACACCATCAGGAGGGCCTAATAAAAACATTAACTCACACGTTATGTATGAATGTTCTGCTTTTGTACATCACGAGAAATAAAAGTGGAGAAACACAAAAAAATGGCTCTTTATATCCTAATTGTTCACAGTCATCAATCAATTTATGTTACAGAAATAATTTATTTAGCAAGGACGTGAATTACCATCAATACATTCGAATGGTAGTGCACCAGATATTATGGAGAAGACAGATCAATCACTATACTCACATTCGCAGACTGCACCATCGTCCTGAAGGTTACAGTTGTAGTCATACCAATACGTGTTGCTAAAACTACAAATATAAGTTCATTGACTAAAATATAACTGCATAAGCCACAATAAATTACTATACCATCTTTCGTCATTTGGAAATCGGATCAATCGTGGTCAGTCGGTTATTGATTTAATATATTGTAATTCAGAAACAATACAAACAGTCACTCCAAACAATTATTTGTCATTATTAATCTTAACTGTGACCGATCTATGTTTAAAGCGACATTAACATTACTTACCTAATATCAACACAATGCTCCTCTCCATTGTCATTATCTGGCTCTTCTAAATCCCAATTATTGTAAACAATGTCTTGATTATCAGTGTCGTAAGTGAATCGCCCTTCGTGGTCTAAATCGGTCACCCCAATCCAATAGAATTCTAGTGAATTCAAAATAAAACCAGGCAAGTGCAAGCAATTACTGGGCTACATATAATAAGATTTCATTGTTTCATGATTAAAATCCTTAATAGAAAGCGGTTAGACTTGCTACGACATATTTGTACCTGATGTTGGGAGTAAAGCAAATATAGCGTTGTATTCTTGCTCAGATTTGGGTTGTGCTAGTACACAACCCATAGCTTCACAACTTTCTTTACCTTCATACCAGTTTACTGGGCTGTCCACAAGTTTGTATATGCTCGTCGAACCTGCATATCACACAGGGATAACGGTTAATAACATACCGATAAAATAATATCCATTAGCAACTAAAAAGGCACATATTCGGTGTAGCTGCTGAATAGTTTGATACAATTTCAAACTGTGTTATATAAAACCAATGTAATTGTCTTGCTACTAAGTGATGCAGTAACAGTGTTAATACGAACAACCACACGATAGATCCCAACAGTTAAATTGAAGCATTGAACACTTGTATTTTCCAAAACCGTGCACACATTTTCAGTACATTTAAACATGTTTTGTTGTAAACTTAGTAATTGATAGTGATAACACGTTCATAGTTACTGATTAACATACTGATATGGCATTGTCAGTGGTTTGCTAATAAAGAGAGTGTACTTACTCCTCTGCGCAAGCAGTCTCTGCATAAAAAGAAAGAATACAGCTGAGATGTTAGGTGTTAATGGCAAATGGCCAGTGTAATTTCGAACCAGTAAATTCTTCATTGGCGATGGAATACTTTACATATTTTTCGATAGATGTTGACTATGCTACTGTGTTGTAGAAATATGGCAATTTTCAAAGAGAAAAATCGTGTTTTCAAGGACATTATGTATAATGAAGAATTTATCTATAAAATTTTTAGATTTTAGAAACCGAAAATAACCAACACAACATTAAGACATGTACATAAAATTGTTAAAACGTTTGATCAAAACAATGGTGCCTAAATTTAAATTTAGATGTGTACGCTAGAATGTATCATAAACTATTTTGCACAGCCCATAATACTTGTATTAGAAACAAATTTGAAAATGCTGAAATATAATTCCATATAGTAATGATATCACCTTCCTATATGACATTTAAGCTTTTGTCTTTTCGCGTCTGAAAAGAATAGACTACGGTCGTTGATTTAATGATACAAATATATAAATTTTAAATTGTATTCAGCATATATCAAACGAACAGAATGAAATATACGTGAATAGATGATAAGTGAGAATACACAGTACGTCGTAGATTAATAAGAGAGTAAACCTACCTCGTGCGGGACTGCTAGAGTCAAACTAGTAACCACAAGAATCAATAACAAACGTAACATCGTTTATGTATTTTCTACAATACTCTTCAACATAAAATGCTATATGGAGACTCCAGACAAACAATCATGCAACTGATAGATTTGGTCCGTTCGGCCAAATTTAAAGATTTTTTTGCTGACGCGCGTGTTAAATAATCCCTCCATTTGGAAGCATTTCTATTGGCCAAATAAAATATTGCACACGTAAGTGACTTTATTTGCGCATGTTCTGTTTCATTCCTTGCTAGGCGACTGCTGGGAATGGTTGGTAGCTGAGAAAATACACTAAGGCTTGCCATGAGTAATGCACACTACTGAGTAAAACAGCGGACATACTCGTACACTACATTGGTACATATCATTTCGTGCTAAGTGTTGCTCTTAATACAGTATAGGTTATGGGAACATTGTGTCTAGATTGAGTGATTAGAAATTAATTGTTCATTCTGTTCTCATCATTTTTTCAATATTTGGCAACCATGTACACGTTATCTTGATAAGTCAAAGTAAATGTATTTGCATACACATGTTACAAAACAGCTCCTGCAAGAAATACTGTTTTTTGGCTACTCTTGTGAGTATAAAACTGTTCCACGCTGTCTGGTACGTTTCATTTGATTTTAGACGTCTTCAGCTGTTTTTGAACGTGAGCCTTTTCCGGCCCCTGATAACGCGTGTTCAATATAACGGCCCCCACCATGAGCACTTCACATTCCAATTTGTTTGGAGGACTGCCCCTAAATTATGAAGTCCAGTATGAATCTATGCCGATTTTAATATTTAAGGTATGTCCATACAGTTGATCCGCGTAATATATGTTGCTTCTAGGGTTAATGGAAGTGTTACTATTTTTCTCGATTTGAACAAGCGTATTGAGCTAGTGTGCACTGTTATTGTCATCGTGAAAGATTTTAAAATTCACGTTGATGCGTTGAAGCACAAGATAAGCCAGCGACTAAAGTTGTCTTGTCGGGAGTGGCCCCTTTGATTTCTTGTGATACTTATAAAAAAACGTTTCTGTCGTACGAAACATTCGAACAATACCTCTTATATTAGCCCTACGTATTGCGCGGTGTTGATCGTAGCAAACTAACGGATTTTGCTCCAGCATGCAGCCATATGCAGTCACGGTAGATTTGTTTGCAATCGGCATGCATTGAAACACGACTGTTTATGACGCATTACAGACAAAAAATAATAACTCCATTCAAGACTACTTTTTAACGCGAGATTACCCAAATTATTTCATCAGTTACGAGACAACACGGAATAGTAATTTATAAACAGAAGTTCATGTCTATCCATCCTAAAAAAATAAAAGTGAATTTTAGATATCCACCTCCAATGTGACACCGGAGATCGAACGCATTGTTATGTTCACTGTGCATGGCTGTGGTCGAGGGGGGGGGAGGTAATGAGCGTCGGCCCGTATTATGATACTAAGCCCCCGACACTGTTCATGTTGGGTGGGCTACTTTAGGGTGTAAAATACACACCCAAAGCAATTGCAAGGACATTTCCAATAGATCAATGAAAATACAAACTCTTAAACTTAATCGAAAAAAAAGACGATGTGATCACTCCTGTATAATCCCAAGATAACAAAAAATCTATCGATCACTGAAAATCTGGTTGTCACATAAGTCTGATTTTTTTTTTTTTTTTTTTTTTTTTAGTTTGGGACTTTGTATTGCAAATGAAGCTACTCTAAATAGCTGCATTGGCGAACATAATGCAACCATGGAAACATCTATTGAAAAAGATGACCTGGTTTGTTAAACGAGGGCTGTTCCAACTAGTGAATTAATAATGTCAGCCAAACATTCTCTGTGCATTATATTTTTCTCGTTCGTTTATCTGACTTAAGACGCCGAGAACTGACAAACTGTCATACGAAATTAAACCTGGTGCAGAACTAATAAGAACCAATGTCAACAAATGTATGGTACGAGATCCATCCATCTTTCTTTTCCCATCATGTTATCTGATGATGGAGATGATATGGAGTCCATTGCATCTGATGTGCCTAACCTGATCTTGCATGACGATTCTCTCAAATGGACTGAAAATTTACTATCTCATGAAACACTGGTTTTATTAGCCCCCGCCGGATCTGCGTCCACGGCGAGGGTTAATAATATGGGTTGTGTCTGTGCATCCGTCTGTGCGACTAAAGTTGTCCTGTCGGGAGTGGACCCTTTGATTTCTAGTGATACTATAAACAAAAAAAGGTTTCTGTCGTACGAAACATCCGAACAAAACCTCTTATATTAGCTCTACGTATTGCGCGGTGTTGATCATAGCAAACAAACGGACTTTGCTCCAGCATGCAGCCATATGCAGTCACAGTAGATTTGTTTGCAATCGGCATGCATTGAAACACGACTGCTTATGACGCATTACATACAAAAATTAATAACTCCATTCAAGACTACTTTTTAACGCGAGATTACCCAAATTATTTCATCAGTCACGAGACAACACGGAATAGATATTTATAAACAGAAAACAGAAGTTTATGTCTATCCATCCTAAAAAAGATAAAACTTAATTTTTGATCTCCACCTCCAAAGTAACAGCGGAGATCGAACGCATTATGTTCACTGTGCATGGCTGTGGTCGAGCGGTGGGGAAGGGGTTATAAGCGTCGGCCCGTATTATGATACTAAGCCCCCGACACTGTTCATGTTGGGTGGGCTACTTTAGGGTGTAAAATACACACCCAAAGCAATTGCAAGGACATTTCCAATAGATCAATGAAAATACAAACTCTAAAACTTAATCGAAAAAAAAGACGATGTGATCACTTCTGTATAATCCCAAGATAACAAAAAAATCTATCGATCACTGAAAATCTGGTTATCACAAAAGTCTGATTTTTTTTTTCTAGTTTGGCACTTTGTATTGCAAATGAAGCTACTCTAAATAGCTGCATTGGCGAACATAATGCAACCATGGAAACATCTATTGAAAAAGATGAACAGGTTTGTTAAACGAGGGCTGTTACCACTAGTGAATTAATAATGTCAGCCAAACATTCTCTGTGCCATCATATTTTTCTCGTTTGTTTATCTGCTTCAAGACGCCGAGAACTGACAAACTGACAGACGAAATTAAACCTGGTGCAGAACTAATAAGAACCAATGTCAACAAATGTATGGTACGAGATCCACCCACCTTTCTTTTCCCATCATGTTATCTGATGATGGAGATGATATGGAGTCCATTGCATCTGATGTGCCAAACCTGATCTTGCATGACGATTCTCTCAAATGAACTGAACATTTAATATCTCATGAAAAACTGGTTTTATTAGCCCCCGCCGGATCTGCGTCCTGGGCGAGGGATAATAATATGGGTTGTGTCTGTGCATCCGTCTGTGCGACTAAAGTTGTCCTGTCGGGAGTGGATCCTTTGATTTCTAGTGATACTATAAACAAAAAAAAAAAGGTTTCTGTTGTACGAAACATCCGAACAAAACCTCTTATATTAGCCCTACGTATTGCGCGGTGTTGATCATAGCAAACAAACGGACTTTGCTCCAGCATGCAGCCATATGCAGTCACAGTAGATTTGTTTGCAATCGGCATGCATTGAAACACGACTGCTTATGACGCATTACATACAAAAATTAATAACTCCATTCAAGACTACTTTTTAACGCGAGATTACCCAAATTATTTCATCAGTCACGAGACAACACGGAATAGATATTTATAAACAGAAGTTTATGTCTATCCATCCTAAAAAAAATAAAACTTAATTTTTGATATCCACCTCCAAAGTAACAGCGGAGATCGAACGCATTATGTTCACTGTGCATGGCTGTGGTCGAGGGGTGGGGAAGGGGTAATAAGCGTCGGCCCGTATTATGATACTAAGCCCCCGACACTGTTCATGTTGGGTGGGCTACTTTAGGGTGTAAAATACACACCCAAAGCAATTGCAAGGACATTTCCAATAGATCAATGAAAATACAAACTCTAAAACTTAATCGAAAAAAAAGACGATGTGATCACTTCTGTATAATCCCAAGATAACAAAAAAATCTATCGATCACTGAAAATCTGGTTATCACAAAAGTCTGATTTTTTTTTTCTAGTTTGGGACTTTGTATTGCAAATGAAGCTACTCTAAATAGCTGCATTGGCGAACATAATGCAACCATGAAACATCTATTGAAAAAGATGAACAGGTTTGTTAAACGAGGGATGTTACCACTAGTGAATTAATAATGTCAGCCAAACATTCTCTGTGCCATCATATTTTTCTCGTTTGTTTATCTGACTTAAGACGCCGAGAACTGACAAACTGACATACGAAATTAAACCTGGTGCAGAACTAATAAGAACCAATGTCAACAAATGTATGGTACGAGATCCACTCATCTTTCTTTTCCCATCATGTTATCTGATGATGGAGATGATATGGTGTCCATAGCATCTGATGTGCCTAACCTGATCTTGCATGACGATTCTCTCAAATGGACTGAAAATTTACTATGTCATGAAACACTGGTTTTATTAGCCCCCGCCGGATCTGCGTCCAGGGCGAGGGCTAATAATATGGGTTGTGTCTGTGCATCCGTATGTGCGACTAAAGTTGTCCTGTCGGGAGTGGACCCTTTGATTTCTAGTGATACTATAAACAAAAAAAGGTTTCTGTCGTACGAAACATCCGAACAAAACCACTTATATTAGCCCTACGATATTGCGCGGTATTGATCATAGCAAACAAACGGAGTTTGCTCCAGCATGCAGCCATATGAAGTCACGGTAGATTTGTTTACAATCTGAATGCATTGAAACACGACTGTTTATGACGCATTACAGACAAAAATTAACAACTCCATTCAAGACTACTTTTTAACGCGAGATTACTCAAATTATTTCATCAGTCACGAGACAACACGGAATAGTTATTTATAAACAGAAAACAGAAGTTTATGTCTATCCATCCTAAAAAAGATAAAACTTAATTTTTGATCTCCACCTCCAAAGTAACAACGGAGATCGAACGCATTATGTTCACTGTGCATGGCTGTGGTCGAGCGGTGGGGAAGGGGTTATAAG